GCCTTTGGGGGAACAGACGAACAAAGCACCGCGCCGCCGCGTGGTCCCCCCCTCCAACGACGTAAGCAAACCAGCCCTTTTGGCGCTTCGACTGGGACCGTATGCTGAATGTTGGGGAGGGGATGGAGTCCCCGACGGTGGACGGACCACTTCAACTCGGTCCTTAGAACCGCCACAATTTGGTGCTTACCTCAGAACTAAGCCTTAGAGAGAAAACGGGTCCGTCCCCTCTCGAAGGCTTAGTCCTGGGGTGAGCAAACCAGCCCTTTTGGCGCTTCGGCTGGGACCGTATGCTGAATGTTGGGGAGGGGATGGAGTCCCCGACGGTGGACGGACCACTTCAACTCGGTCCTTAGAACCGCCACAATTTGGTGCTTACCTCAGAACTAAGCCTTAAAGAGAGGACGGGTCCGTCCCCTCTCCAAGGCTTAGTCGTAAGCAAACCAGCCCTTTTGGCGCTTCGGCTGGGACCGTATGCTGAATGTTGGGGAGGGGATGGAGTCCCCGACGGTGGACGGACCACTTCAACTCGGTCCTTAGAACCGCCACAATTTGGTGCTTACCTCAGAACTAAGCCTTAAAGAGAGGACGGGTCCGTCCCCTCTCCAAGGCTTAGTAAGCAAACCAGCCCTTTTGGCGTTTCGGCTGGGACCGTATGCTGAATGTTGGGGAGGGGATGGGGTCCCCAACGGTCGACGGTTTACTTCAACTCGGTTGGTACGATAGGAGAGTACTGACGCAAGTGGTGCAGCTGGTCCAGCAGCTCCGCCAGAAGGGCTGGTTTGCTCACCCCAGGACTAAGCCTTGGAGAGGGACGGACCCGTCCTCTCTTTAAGGCTTAGTTCTGAGGTAAGCACCAAATTGTGGCGGTTCTAAGGACCGAGTTGAAGTGGTCCGTCCACCGTCGGGGACTCCATCCCCTCCCCAACATTCAGCATACGGTCCCAGCCGAAGCGCCAAAAGGGCTGGTTTGCTTACGTCCATGACTCAGTATGGAGTCGTAAATAAGAATGTGCGTCATTCCCACCTACAAGGATTATCCTTTCAGATTCTTCATAATTACAGCGAGATTTCCGATAGGTTTGATTTGTCACGTTTTTCATGCTTTATCTCGTTTTATCCTATGAATACTACTAATGGCGCTTTCGTAATGCTAACACTTATGTTACGTTACTAATAAGCTTTACGCAACAAACCGACACGTAGACGATATAGCGCGTGATTTTAATTTTATGACCGCATAGGACAGGCGCGATTTCGCCAGCGCGGCGGACGGAGTTATGGCAACGAAAAGGCCAAGTTTACTTACTTCCAATGTAGGGGACCTTGAAAGCGTTTTTTTCCTAATGGGCAAATTACCACACATAGCTTGCCACTCGTGTAATTTGGTATTTATTTCTACTACTCTTTACCATGTGCATGTTAATGAAAATTAAAACAAAGAGGGATGAAAGAAGTTGGAAATCTAGAGAGGTATAGAAAACCTTCGCCAAACTGAAGCATATCTGATCATTCTGTGAGCCACGTGTTTATAGTTATGTTGCTGAATAACTTATAGTATACGAAATATTTGCGAAGAAGTTGTGCGTGGAAGAAAAGTGAGCTGGTATGTGCGCGACTCGCATTCGGTCGCGCTGTCCCGTGAGTTGCAGAGTGCGGTCTGCATGCGGATCGCGTTGTCTTCAAAGTGTGAAATTGAAGTTCGTACGTCTTCATAGCATATATATTTGTAATTACATCATCCTAAAAATTTGTAATACAAAAATGTATGAAGAAACAGATGTATCGCTTCCCTAATCCCTTTCAGTATTCCAAAGGATTCCCTATGCATCCCTGAATATCTGTCATTAGACTGAAAAATATGTATATAAAGTTTCTTGATGAGGAGTAGAGCATTTAGCGTTGGTCAATTTTTAGGTGTGCATCAGGGATTTCACAGTCGTTCATGAGCATAGTTGCCATTTGCAAGGCGATTTGGTCTATACAGTGGCTAAAGGGACCAATGTGTAAATCTGTGTTTTTCTTTTCAAATTAATTCTGGTATTAATTAATCAACCCGCAGGTGAATGTTTAGTGACCTAAACGGTGTACCAGCCAGGATTTGATAACCGCACCATCGCGTGATAAACAACGATACTTGCCACTTCGCTCCTTCCGCCCAGACAGTACCGATAGATTGCTTCTATGTCCTACAGGGTGTTCAG